TGCGCTGCACTCACACCTCGCTCAGCCAGTGAGCGGCTGGTCTGTATGTGGGATCCGAACCCTCGGCGGGAGCGCCGCCGGGCTCCCAAGCGGCGCACTGTAGCAGTGCGCCACGGGGCCGGCCCCGAGTTTTATTTATTTAATATGATTTAAGCACATATTACTATGATTTTTATAAGTCAATTGAAACAGCTTGTTCCAGTTGATTTTATCCTGATTTATTAATACTATCCATAGGTAGACAAAACATATCAATTTTATTTTATTTATTTATTTATTTTTAGCATCTGGCTGGTGCAGGAATCAAGTGTGGTCCTTGGTGTTATCAACACTGTACTCTTACCAGTGGAGCTACCCAGCCAGCCTGAGGCATATCAATTTGTTTCCTCAAAAAATATTTTATATTCATGAAATGGAAAATTTTTACCTTTCATTTAACTTAGAAGATCTAATTATGATAAAGCAGCAGATTTTAAGGTAGACACACTATTCTTAATCTATTAAGAATGTTAATCAGCTAAAGAGACAAAAACATGTAACTAAGTGCCATCAGGTTCATTAGGTTCCTCACAGAACCATCATTATTGAGTATGGTGGTTTTAAATATATTTCCACAAATTCTTTAGATTCTTCCCTTCAAAAGCTGGAGTTCAATTCCTCTCTGAGTGTGTCTGGATTTAATGGCTCACTTCTAACAAATTAAGTAGAAGTAATGGTGTGTGACTTCAAAAACTAGGTCATAAAAAGACACTTGCAGCTTGCATCTTGGTTGCACTCTCTCAGATCACTTGTTCTGAAGGAAGCCAGCTGCCATGTCTTGTGCAGCCCTCTGGAGAGACCCAAATGGCAAGGAACAGAAGCCTCCTGCTAGTAGCTGCATGTGTAAACTTCAGTGATCCTCTTGACAGCAACCTCAGCCAACATCTTGATTATAGTCACAGGGAGACCTGAACCATCCAGCTAAGCCACTTAGCCAGAATTATCCAGCTAAGCTTCTTCCAAATTGCTGATCCACAGAAAGAGAGATAATAAATGTTTTTTGTTTTAACCTATTATGTTTGGGGATAATTCATTACACAGCAATAAATAACTAATAGATTTGAGATTGTGATTCCCAGAAATTTGATGAGACACTTTTTTTTTCAGTATCTGTATCCTATATGATAACAACATTGTTATTAAAGGGCTAAATTTAGGTTTTGGAAAATTATTAAATATTTGGCTTTTGGAAACCATTTTTCTGAGTTCATCTAATTTATAGTTAAATAAGTTTCTTTACCATCCTTTTTTTAGCTTTAGAGTTCTGAAGTAATGTTAATTTGTAGTTATTCAGTTACTTAGAGAAATCAAAGAACGTTAACCATTGAATGTTATGAATTTTGTTTCCTTTCATCTTTATTTTTGTAGATATTGACAGGTATTGGGCCCATAATAAGTAAACATGTAAAAGCCTCAAGTTTTGGATGGAGGAAGAGAGCAAAGGACCCCATATCAGTACCTTCCAAAAATAAACATTAAAAAAAAAAA